GCTCGGTGGCCGGACGAAGGGAGGAGGAGTGAGGGGTGGCGCGCAGCCGACCCTCGACGCAGGGACCGCACGGCGGCACAAGCGAAGGTGGCAGCGACGGCAAGACACGCGGGAGGCCTAAGACAAGACGCTGACGAGACATAGCGCGCAGACGAGGAAGGGACGGGTGCCCCATCCGGTGGTGCCACAGGACGGTGGGGTGGGCAAGGGACCGGCAGGAGCAAGACGCAGCGACTGGACCAGACGCAGGAACCTGACCAGACACAGCTACCTGGGGGGAAGGAGCAACCTGGTGAGACACGGGGACTCGAGCGGAGGGCGGAACAGGGGCCGGGGGCAGTAGGAGCGGCTGCTGCTGCGGCTGCGGCTGCTGCGGCTGCGGCTGCTGCGGCGGCTGCTGCTGCTGCGGCTGCTGCTGCGCCAGCGGGCCAGTGTGAAGAGTGTAGAGACCGGAGCCCGGCTCAGCTGTAAAGGTGGCAAGGGGCCGGTAAGAGCCCTCGTCAACACACACCGCTGTCTCACCCGAAAACCACACACCCACGTGCTGGCTCACAAGGGGTCGTACGCCCACCAAGTTCCTCGAGAACGAGGGGACGTGAAACCCAGTGAGAGACCCGGAGGGAGCAGCAGGACACGGCAAGGTAGTAGTGTGACGCGCTGTGACCGGTCCCGAGGTGGGATCAGCCAACGCCACGGAGACAGGTGCAGGAAGTGGTGTAAGTGTCGTGCTGTCACGAAAGAAGCAGTGCGAGGCTCCAGAGTCCAGCGTGAACGACAGCGAAGTGTCCTCCGAGGTAGGCGCTGGACTAGAGTCTACACAAGAACCTACACTAGCAACAGGCAACTGAGCAAGGCTAGCACCTAAGCTAACAACACCAGAGTAAACAGAGTCAGAAACACTAGAGTCAACAACAGCATACATAGCATGAGGAGTTCCAATCAGATCTGCTAACTGCTCAGCAGACATGCCCCACAGAGCGGAGCCGTAACGCTGAACAAGAGGAAGCCAGTCAGGGGCAGGACCGCCAACCCCGTAGACCAAACGAACCGTGTCAGTGAGCTGAGCAAAACACTGACCAGGGGGGTGAAAGCGACCACAAGGGTGTCCTCGGTGAGAACCTGTCAGAACCTGATAGGTGCAGGGAGGGTAAGCAGCACCGCGCTGGGGCTGACGCAGCCCCGACCCCGGAGCCAGCTGCGGCCGCTGCTGCTGCTGAGGCTGCTGGGAGGAGAGGGGCTGCTGCTGCTGCTGAAGCTGCTGCTGACGCTGGGCCTGGTACCACGCCGCTGCTCCACCCACCGGGGCCGGCAGTACGGGAGGCGACTGACGAACTCGGGCGTCGCCACCACCAGCAGGCGCAGTAGAGTCACCTGTCGCTGCACGAGACGTCTCTCCAGGTCCTGCACTCCCACCACCGCCAGTCGCAACGCCACCTCCACTACCTCCGCCTCCACCACCACCACCACCAGAACCGCCCTTCTTGCCACCCCTACCGCGGGACCGCGACGCAGTCGTAACAGCAGCTGCAGTCGCGTCAGTAGCGGCAGTGGCGAGAGAGGCAGTAAAGGTGGGTAACTGCGGGACTGTGCACCCGTGGAAGAGTGGGGGGGGCACAGCACCAGAGGCAGCGGCTACCAAGCGAAGGTTGCTCTCGACGTCCTTGAGCGCAGACTCAAGGACCTCGACGGTGAGCTCACTAGGGTGCTTCAGCAGAAGCACGTCACGAACGGAGGCAAGGCGGTCAGGGAGGCTAGTGGCGATGAAATAGATAGTAATCGCCATAGGGGGAGGAAGCAGTGCAAGCTGTGCCTCAGTGCAAGCAGCGCGGTAACTAGCGTCGAGCGAGCGGAGGTGAGCGATCAAGTCAGTAGAGCGCTCAAAAGACGCTAGGTCAGGAAACAGGAACGGGAGGAAAAGGCGGCCAAGAGAGACAGTAGCGGGAGTAGAGTAGCGGGCCTTAATCGCAGTGAGGTACTCAGCAGCGGTGCGAACCTGAGTGAAGTGAACCTCCTCAGACTCAGGGAGGAGGCTGCTGAGCGCGATGCAGGCCGCAGCGCCACTCGACGTCCAAGCCGTCTGGTCAGCTCGCTGGGTGGCAAAGTGAGCTCTAGCGGCGTCGTCAGGGGCAGGGCCTAAAGGCGTAGGGTCGGGGGGCGCAGGGAGGGCACCAGTAGCGTGCGCCCAGAGGGTCTCGCCTGCCTGGACCTGACTCTCTAACAGACGGCGAGCGCGAAGAAGCCAGACGGAAAAATCAAGAGGTCTACCGTCAGCGTCGAAACGAAGTACACGCTGAGTCGCCATAGTGGAAACTAACGCAAAAGTGTCGGTAGGAGACAGCAGTAGGCGAGTGGGAGACTAGGGTTAAGCAGTACCCTTGGACAACGGAAGCGAACGACGGACGAGGCAGCGGGCAACGGGAGCGGACGCAGCGGTGGAAAACGGAAGTGGGGCGCAGCGGCGACGCGCGTAGGGGCTGCCTGGGCGACGGGCTAGGGCGCAGGCTGGGGCGACGGGCTGGGGCGCAGGCCAGGGTGACAGGTTAGGGCGCAGGCTGGGGCGACGGGCTGGGGCGCGGGCCTGGGCGACGGGCTAGGGCGCGGGCCAGGGCGACGGGCTAGGGCGCGGGCCTGGGCGACGGGCTGGGGCGCGGGCCTGGGCGACGGGGGGAAGGGGGTATACGCTGACCAATATACGGTACGGTAACGGGATTTTTGGGGGTCCAGCAGAGTCTGTCCTGAGATTGCTGTAATCCGTGCTTAACGTCCATTGGACCAAACCACAGGCACAGGCCGTTAGGGCGTGTAAGATCCCCGTGCATCACCATTCGGCCATCAAAACTAGGTGGCTGAAAGCGAAACGCGATGGTGTTTGAAACGCTTTCAAGGCAGTTCAGCGCGGTGGCGTACGATGTTTAGGGTTATTTTCGCAACGGCCACCAAATTTTGATGGCCGAATTGTGATGCACGGGGATCTTACACGCCCTTAGGGCTTTTCCATACAAAAAAAATGTGTAGTATTGAAATTGCAAAGGGTTGATACCGAGGATTCAACCTGTGGATTGGATACAACCTGCAAGAGAGCAAAAGGGACCAGGCAAGTATCGAACTCGCGATTATTACTTCGTAGATGCTTGGTTGAACAGTTGTGCTACTGGTCCCGTGTTGTAGTTGTTGTAGTATGTATCAATTACTTGTATAGAAGATGTTGTCTGAGCAGCAAGTAACAGAAAGTAATTCGAGAGAGATCTTCGTTGGTTTCCCCACCTGGACGTCGGTGCTGCCCAACGGCTCCCTATGGTCAGTCTGTCTCAGCATGATACAGTATTGTTGGATTGGAGTTCCGTATTACACTGTGTTGCAATCAGAGCTCCCCTCCCAAGTGTGCAAGTTGTGCAAGTGGAAGGATAGGAATGCCCCCTCCCCTCCAATGTGAGAGGATAGGAAGGAGCCATACGGAAAGCAATCGAGCACTCCACTATGTCAATCAAACAATACTGCACATAGAAAAGACGAGGAAAAAACGAGCACAAGACAATAGCACCTGCCACCAGCCACTCCCCTGGCTGCCATCCCTGCTGCCTCGCCTCCCAAGGAAGCGAGACAGGAGCAAGATGAGGAGCAGCAGAGGAGCACGCAAAGAGTAGTACAAGGCCACACGGCATGCTATGTGAGTCCAGCACGACTGCTGCCGTACCTGCAACTCCCCTCCCCACCATCCCTGCTGCTCCCAGCGGGGAGGTGAGCAGCGCTCCCAGCAGCAGCAACAGCAGCAGAGGAGCAGCAGCATCCAAGGAGCAGCAGCATCCAAGGAGCAGCAGCATCCAAGGAGCAGCAGCATCCAAGGAGCAGCCGAAGAGGGGAAGACAAGCCGCACTCTATGTCACACGAGGATTCCTGCCACTCCCCTCCCCACCATCCCTGCTGCTGATGCTGCTGCTTCTGGGCAGGCAGGACACCAACCAGATGAGCGGCACTCCTACCTACCAGCAGCAGAGGTACAGCAGACAAGCAGCATGCTATGTGAGTCGAGGACTGCTGTTACCGTCCCTGCTGCCTCCCTCCCGGCCATCCCTGCTGCTGCTGCTGCTGTTGCTGCCGCCGCTGCTACTATCGGGCAGGCGGGACACAAGCCAGATGAGCAGCACTCCTACCAGCGCGCCTGCGAGATGTGCGATGTGATTAACTCCCGATCCTGCCGCTATGCCCACGCCCCCCAACATTGCTGAGTTACGCGCCTCTGATAGCACCTGTGGGGGTGGGAGAGGGAGAGTTGAAGGGCAGGAAAGGGAAGGGACAGGAAGGGGAGGATGAGAGAGTAGCAGCAGATGAGCAGCACTCCCACCAGCGCCCCTGCCAGGTGAGCAATGTGGTTCACTCCTGACCCTGCCGCTATGCCCACCCCCATGATTGCCAAGTTACGTGCCTCTGACAGCACCTGTGGGGGTGGGAGAGGGAGGGTTGAAGAGCAGGGAGGGACAGGGGAGGGAGGATGAGAGAGTAGCAGATGAGCAGCACTCATACCAGCGCCCCTGCCAGGTGGGTGATGTGGTTCACTCCTGACCCTGATATGCCCACCCCCTCTCCAGTTACGCGCTCTCCCCCTCAGACCTTCTCCACCACAAGCTGCCCCAGGACTACCACTTTCACGATCCTCCGCCAGTCGTTTTCCCCTATCTTTGCAAACGGTCCTCGTACTTGCCTTCCCCTTGCCCGCCCTCCCGTCCCCCTCTGACCTTCTCCACCACAAGCTGCCCCAGGACTACCACCTCCACGATCCTCTGCCATTTCGTTCTTTTCTTTCCTCCCAAACACTCCTCTTACTCGGTTCTCTCTCCCCCTCCCCCCTCTTCCCCCCTCCCTTCCTCCCTCTCACCTTCTCCACCGCAAACTGCCCCAGAATGACCACCTCCACTATCATAGTCCAGTTACTTTTTCCTACTCTGCAAACTGTCCCTGTACTTGCCCCCCCCCCCCCCCTTGCACCTGCCCCCCCCTCCTCCTCATCTCACCTTCTCCACCACAAACTGCCCCAGAATGACCACTTCCACGATCCTTCTCCAGTTCCATTGCAGCTGCAGCAGGCAAGCCAGGAAATGCGGGGAGATGAGAGAAGTACAACAGTTAGCGCAAAGAGCGTTCAGTGGTGGAAGAACGCTGATGATAAAGAGGCCAAAGACAGCACCAGAGGCACCGACAGAAATGGTGTGTGATGTGATGGGAGGAGCAGCCAAGAGACTAGGTTGGAACCTGCCCCTGTTACAAGGTACTCTGTACCACCAGCCAGCACACCCTGTAGACAACCCAGCACCGCACTGCACCCCCTTGAAAACAGCATTTACCTGAGTGAAAAACAGTACTCACCCGAGTGAGCACACTAACGACGAAGAGACCGAAGACAGCACCAGAGGCACCAACAGAGACGGTGTACGATGGGAGGAGCAGCCAGGAGACGAGATTGGAACCTGCTCCTGTCACAAGGTACGTCACCCATAGGCCTAGCGTTCCCTCCTCCTCCTCCACTAGCCGACCTGAGAGTGAAGGAGTGAGGGAGGGAGTGTGTAAGTGAGTGAGTGAGTGAGTGGAAGGGAGAAAGAGAAAGAGCGGAGGAGCAGCCATGAAACGAGATTGGAGCCTGCGCCTGTTACAAGGTAGATCACCCACAGGCCTAGCGTTCCCTCCTCTTCCTCCACTAGCCGACCTGACAGCGTGAGTGAGTGAGTGAGTGAGCGAGTGAGTGAGTGTGTGTGTGAAGGTGATAGAGAGGAAGTGAGGAGGAGCAGCCATGAGACGAGGTTGGAGCCTGCCCCTGTTACGAGGTACGTCACCCATAGGCCTAGAGTGCCCTCCTCCTCCTCCACCACTAGCCGACCTGAGGGCGAGAAGGTGAGAAGGTGAGTGAGTGAGTGAGTGAATGAGGGGAAGTGAGAGAGAGCAAGGTGGGAGGAGCAGCCATCAGACGAGGCTGAGATCTGCCCGAAGTAAGTCAACCATAGGCCTAGAGTTCCCTCCTCCTCTTCCACTAGCCGATCTGAGAGTGAGTGAGTGAGTGGGTGGATGTAAGTGAGAGAGAGCAAGAGGGGAGGAGCAGCCAGGAGACGAGGTTAGAGCCTGCGCCTGTCATGACATACGTCACCCATAGACCTAGAATTCCCTCCTCCTCCTCCAGTAGCTCTCCAGTAGAGTGAGGGAGTGATGGAGGGAGGGGGTGAGTAAGTGAGAGTGGAAGTGAGAGGAGAGGACCAGCCAGGAGACGAGGTTGGAGCCTGCGCCTGTTACAAGCTAGGTTACCCATACGCCTAGGGTCCCCTTCTCCTCGTCCACTATCCGACCTAAGTGAGAGAGTGAGTGAGTGTGGGAGAGGTGGAGCAATCAAATGGAAGGGAAGTGGGGCAGTAGCATGGAGGTGGGTGGGGCAATGGGATCAAAAGTGCAATGCAGAGAGGTAGGCAAGAATGGTGAGAATGAAAACGTGCGAGGCGATGGTAGGTTGGACGGTGAGGGAGGGGAGAGGAGAAAGGGAAAAGAGAGAGCGTACCGAATATGTAGAGGAAGAAGAGGTTGCTGGAGAGATGGCTCCTGCGGACAGAGGGGAGGGGAAGGGGGGAAAGGAGGGAGATTTGGAAAGAGGATTTGGAAAGAGGATTTGGAAAGAAGATTTGGAAAGAAGATTTGGTGGAAGGATGGTAAACGAGCAAGAGATTGGTACATGACAAATGAGCATGCCACGGGGCATATAAGCATGAAGAATAAACAATATAAAGGGCAGCAATCATCTCTGAGACTGCAGATCAGAAGTCAACTAAGAGTTTAGCTGTAGAGCAACTCACCAGCCAGCATGACAGAATGTTGAGGTGACGAACTGGTACCAGCGCGGAGAGGCGTGGTGCAGGTAGAGGGACGACCACACTGGGAGCTGGAGAGGGGAGAGGGAGAGACAGAGGAAGTAAACGGAAGGATGCAAGCAACTGGTACCAGTGTGGGGAGGCGTGGTGCAGGTAGAGTGACGACCGCACTGGGAGCTGGTGGGGTAAGAAGAAAGGAGCTATGTTGCGCCTGACGCCCTGGAACGGCAGCGTCCAGCGTCCGGACGTGAACGTCCGGACGCTGGACGCGTCAAATCGGTTTGACGCTGGACGTTCGGGGAAAATTTTTTCGGGCAGCCCGAAAAAAAATATACTGCACGAAATTGACTCGCCATTTCATCGCGACCAGAATTGACGATGAAATTGCCAACTGGGGGCCGCGTTTTATACCCAAAAAATGCAACCCTCACTTATTCTTCCCCACACATTTGTACCCATCCACATCTACTTCTCCCAACCTGGTCGACTCCCAACTAAACTAGAGAACCAGATCTAGGTCGACATTCCACAGATCTGTTTCTCTCGACATTGTCAAGCATTCCTTACACTAGAATCCGCCAGTCACGCTACTAAGCCTTCCTAGCTAAAATTAGGTTAAGGCGATTAAGATATCATGTCAACTCCTAGTCGCGCCGGTCATTCTGTTAGTGCCTCCACGCCTTCTGGAGATTTTCAGGAATTTCTGGATTTTATGGAGTATTTATAACTATAGGTGACAAATGTGAACTTCTTGCATTCTAACCCCTGCGTATCCTTACTAGGCAGGTTTTTTTACCCCTGCCTGGAAAACATTTTTGCCCTGCCCGGACTAGCGTCAAGCGGGCGTCCAGGGCAGAGGGCACCGGGCGTCAAGCGTCTGGACGCCCCGTCCAGACGCCAGCGTCAAAAACGCCTGACGCGTCAGGCGCAACATAGGAAAGGAGAGAGAGAAAAGGAGAGAAGCGAGAGACGAGAATGGATAGATGAAAGAGGTACGGAGAAACTCCGTTACTAAACAGCTGTTTGGCTGCTATGGAGAAGGGAAGCAGCTGCGTATGTGAAATGGATGGGAGAAAGGAAGCAATGAGTTGAACTAGTAACCTTTGTTGAAGGGTGACCGTCAGACTGTTGGTCGGCACCTGTAGCAAATGATCCATCCGCAAGAATGTTATAAGAATGCTATCGGTGTGTCAGACGGTTAAGAGTGATACTTTTTAGTCGACTCAAAAGTCAACTCGGATGTTATAAGAAAGCTATCTGCGTGTCAGACGGTTAAGAGTAATACTTTTTAGTCGACTCAAAAGTCAACTCGGATGTCATAAGAAAGCTATCTGCGTGTCAGACGGTTAAGAGCAAGACGTCTTTCAATGAGAAGCCGCAGGGCACGACGGTATCAATAGCGAGTTTCGAGGTGGCTCAATAGCAGTATCCGTTGCAAAATTCATACCCGTAGAAAGTGATCCGCTAGGAACGCCAGAAGGTTCAGCAGAAGCAGCAGGAACACGCCGTTGAAATTGTTGTCGCCGTTCCGGCCAGCTGCAGAAAACGACACGCCCGGCCGCCCACCGGCCTGCCGCCCAGCTGCCGTCCGCCGCCTTTCCTCCGCATCATTGCCCTCCTGCTCGCGCTCGAAGCTCGTGAAGCGCGCCGAGTCATCCGTGCCAGCCTGGCATCGCTGAAAATATCCTCGCGAACTTCGCGATTTTCGCGATCTCGGATTCGCACTGTTCGCACTGCCGGTCTGCGCGAAGAAAAGCCGTTGATCAGCTCCCGTGTCGGCTGTCCCTTCGAAGCGAGCAGAGCTTCGTGAGAAAATTAAGGGATGGCACTCTCGCAATGTATCTAGTCTATGTGAACGAGACGGTTTATATCGAGGATGAGAAGGAAGAGCTCCCGCTCGGGTTGATCGCGTGGTGCTGGACCTATCGGGAAGATCGCCAATGGTTCCACGACTTGTGATATGGTAACCGCCTTTCGTGAAACTCGCTGTTCCTTTTTCGCAACGCTCGCAAGACGACCTAACGCTGGACGATCGCAAAGGCTGTAACAGCGCGTTCGGAGAGACACGCGTCAATCTCTCCGCCATGCCAGCCGCGTAGCTAATTCCAGGAACACATTCAGGAGCACAAGGTGAGTTAGTTGACTGGCGATGACTGGAGAAACCTGGGTTTTGGAACAATCGTGAAGGAAACGCAGGCTCAAGGGAATGATGCGACAAAACTGATGAAGCACCCCGATAATGCCGAACGCAGATACTGCACTGCACTGTAATGTTCTTCGGAGTGTACATTGGCCTACTTAGCACTCGCTTGTTCAAATGCATCCACAATTAACTAAGCCAGGTGTCAAAATTACTTGCATGGGGTTTTGCATCACATATGTATCTCTTCCATTGATGATTGATTGCCAACCCCTTATACATTTGTCAAAACAATTGAGGCACCCAACAAACCCTGGACAATCAGTCACATGATCATTCTTTGCTCTCAAATTTAGCCCTCTTAGCTTCTCGAGCATCAGCGTCACTCTCCTTATTGTCACCCTCCGGTCTGTCGGTCTTCTTCCTATCAGGCACAACAGCCGCCACTGCCTTCTCCCAGTCCCTGTGGTGCAGGTACTGCAGAATAGTATCTACCACGTGGTTCACAGCCAATACCTGCACAGGGCAAACAAAGGAATATGGATGGATGGGTTGAAGTCGGAAAACAGCACAGCATGGCAGGTTGTTACAACAGCCGCCACTGCCTTCTCCCAGTCCATGTGCTGCAGGTACTGCAGAATAATATCTACCACGTGGTTCACCGCAAGGACCTGGAAGGGGCAAACACATAAGGGTGGTACCGTATTAGTAATTGGCGCAGCACAGTGAGTTGCACAACAGCTGCCACTGCCTTCTCCCAGTCCCTGTGCTGCAGGTACCGCAGAATAATGTCTACCACGTGGTTCACAACGAGTACCTGCACGGGACAAACAAATAGGGGTGGTATTAGTGATTGGGGCAGCAAGGTAAGTTGTCACACAGCTGCCACTGCCTTCCCCCAATCCCTATGCTGCAGGTACTGCAACATGATGTCCACCACGTGGTTCACTGCCCAAACCTGCAAGGGGCAAACATAGGGATGGGGATGGGTGAACAGGGCAAACAATAAGTTGTCACAACAGCCGCCACTGCCTTCTCCCAGTCCCTCTGCTGCAGGTACTGCAGAATTATGTCCACCACGTGGTTCACAGCGAGTACCTGCAAAGGCCAAACAAACAGGGGTGGTAAAAGTAAGCAGGGAAAACAGTAAGTTGTCATACAGCTGCCACTGCCTTCTCCCAGTCCCTGTGCTGCAGGTACTGCAGAATAATATCCATCACGTGGTTCACTGCCAATACCTGGGAGGCAGGGTGGGGTGGAGAGGGGTGTAGTGTAGTGAAGTGGGGTGGAGTGCGGTTAGGGAAGCAACAGAGATAAAAGTTCCTGCACAAATCACCATCAGTCCCTGTTCTGCACATACTGCGGAATGATGTGCACCACGTGGTTCACTGCTAGCACCTGCATCGGTTAAACAAAAAGGGGGCAAGGGAAGCTCTGTGGAAAACAAGCAACAATTTACGAGTCCCTGTGCTGCAGGCAGTGCTAGGGGTGAAAGTGGTGGCTGAGGCAACATGGCCACTTGTCATACAGCTTGTTGTTCTCTCAGTCCCTGCAATGTCCACAATGTCTACTATTCTACAGATTACATCTCACCGCACTGCACTGCACTGCACTGCACTGCACTGCACAATACCCCACAGCACCGGTCCAATCGGTTCAAGCTCCCCCTTCCGACCCACTATCTCTACGATTCTACGCATCACATCTCACCACACTGCTCTGAACTGCAGTACAGTGCACAGCACCGCACAGCACTGCACTGCATCGCTCTGCACACCCACCTTGGAAGTCTTCAAGTTGAGGTATTTCCCAATCGGCAATCTCGCCATCTTGATCCCTTGCTTCTCCGCCTTCCCTTTAGTCAGTCCCTTGTACCGATTGTGATCCACTATCCCCCCCACCACATACACCTTCCCCGCTTCCACCTCCCCCACCTCCTCCTCCGCATCAGCAGTCAAATACACCAGTTCCCCCTCCCGCCCTGCCCAGGCTTCGATATAGGAACGCGGCTCCACAGTCACGCCGTGCCAGCTGTCGAAGCCGGCAATTCGCTGCAGGCGGTGCAGGAAGGGGCTGGATGGAGGGAGGCCGGAGAGAGTGAGGCGGCAGGGAGAGGAGGCGCGGTGGTTGAGGGCGTAGGAGAACATGACCTGGCGGTGGGGAGAGAAAGATGGGGAGAGGGGACTTTTGAGTCGACTCAAAAGTCAACTTGAGGGCGTATGAGAACATGACCTGGCGGTGGGGAGAGTAACATAGGCGAGACGACTGGAAAGGTGAGCAGTAGGTACACGCTGCGAGCTCAGCAGGCGGTGCAGGAAGGGGCTGGATGGAGGGAGGCCGGAGAGAGTGAGGCGGCAGGGGGAGGAGGCGCGGTGGTTCAGGGCATAGGAGAACATGACCTGGGGAAGGGGGGGAAATGGGGGGAAGTGGGGGAGAACAGTGGGGTACGGGAAGAAAAAGAGGGGTGTGAGAGCTGATGCAAGCGGTGCAGGAAGGGGCTGGCGGGGGGGAGGCCGGAGAGGGTGCGGCGGCAGGGGTTGGGGGCGCGGAGGTTCAGGGCGTATGAGAACATGACCTGGGGGAGATGGGGGGGGGAAGGGTGGAGGGGAGGTAGATGAAGGGGGTGAGGTGGGGGCTGAGCAGTCGGGTACGGGAAGAAAAGGAAGATCGTGAGGGGATCTTGTTCTCCTTTCAGCTGAAAGGAGATCTCCTGGCATAGTCAGGATCGAGATTTCTCCTTGCACTATGGTGCCATAAGCTAAAACCAGAAACCCCGAAAACATTGTTTTCCCTCACTTGCTGCTGCAGGCTCCCCCATGAACTCTTCAAACTCCAAGTCAATGATCAGCCCCGGACCCTTAATCCCCTTGAACCCACTTGCACCATGGTGCCATAAGCTAAAACCCAATACCTCGCGCCCTCTACATCCCTCACCTGCTGCTGCAGGCTCGACAACTCTCTCTCCCCCATCAGCTCCTCAAATTCCAAGTCAATGATCAACCCCGGACCCTTTTCCGCCTTTTCCGCCCAAGCCTTCCGCCTCTCCGCCTCCGCCACCCGCCGCGCCTCCGCCTTCTCGCGCTGCCGCGCGGCGGCCTCCGCGCGCTCCTCCGCCGTCATGCTCGCCTCCGCGGCCGCCGCCTCCTGCTCCGCGCGCTTCTGCTGCGCCTCGCGCGCGATTCGCGCCTCCTCGCGCGCGCGCTCCTTCCGCTCCTGCATCGCCTGCCGCTTCGCCAGTTTCTTCTGCGCGTTCTTCGACAGCGGCTTGCCGTCCTGCGCGGTCGCGTCCCCGTTAGTGACGTTATTCGATGCTGGCTTAGCGTCCTGCGCACTCGCGCCCCCTTCACCTTCCTCCCCGCCTTCACGTTTTTCTCCGCCTTCCCGCTTTTCTCCGCCTTTCCCCGTTTCTCCGCTTTCTCCGACCCCATTTTCTCCCCCTACCTCTCCGTTTTTCTCCCCTATTCTGCCTTCCCCAGTGTCTCCACGTTCCCCTTTCTCTTCATCCACGCGCGCGCCGCTATCCGCGCACAAAGCTCCGCCATCGGCACGCGCATCTCCGCCATTCGCCTCCCCTGCAGCGAGCTCCGCCGACGCAGCAACTGCCACGCGAGCTGCTGCTTCCGACTGAGCAGCTTCCATCTCAGAGGCTTCCACGCGAACGGTCTGATCCGACGGACGGAAACAATCCCCTTCAAAAAATAAACGCTGGGGCTTATAATGCACTCACGCCTAACTCTGTCACGAGGAAAACCAGAAGTCTCGTCCGGAGAGAAACGCTACACCGCAAGAAATGTTGCGGTTCCTAAGAAAAAGTGGAGTGACAATGCTCCGAAGGAACAAATGCGCTCCGACCTTCAGACGCTACGTGGGCAGAAAGAGGACCGGCGGTGGCACAAGCGATGACAGATTGGTATGAGAATGAGCGATCAGGTCGTGTGAGTGACGGTTGAGGGGTTCAGTAGCAACATGAAGGGTGCGACGAGGAATCCATGAAGAAGACTTGCGGTAAATGGTGGACAACATATGGTGTTCGTTGCGACAACTCGTTCCACGTCTCATCCTTTCTCACGGGCGACCCCACTAGACGAGGTAGCGATCTTTCAGGTTACAAATGATTTGACACGAGCAGCCAGAAACTGCCGAAATACGTCTTCAAAACTCGCATTCCTGACCGGACTTTCGAAGCTGGGCATCGAGTTTTCGCAGATACTGACGAAATTGACGAGAGTCGCAAACTCGTCGTGCGTCTCGGACAATCCCGAGTCTGTTGCCGCATGTACCCCACCGTCTTCTTCCTCACTCCCGCGAAGCATTTGCGTTTTGCGTGCTCTTCGAATTTCTTTGCTCCTTCGTGGTCACTTTCCGCCAACTGCTCCCTTTGACAGCACAGCAGTCGTGGTTCGCCACGTTATAATCCAAACCAATCGCCGTCAGCGAGCCCAGGAATCCTATAAACGCAGTCGAAGCAGCAGGAGGAGAGCAGAACAAGGGAGAAGCTATCACGAAATCTCAACGCGCTGTGTCGCGGCCTGAAAGCGGTCAACTGGTCCGTTTAACTGTCAGCTTCGTCTCTTCGTCACGAAGGAGCCAGAAAGGACGAAATTTCTTTGGATCGCGAGTCTCAGTAGTAACCCGTACTCTGAAGAGACGTGCGATGGCGGATTCGGCGCCGGATTTCACGGAGCAATCGGCCATCGCTGCACGCGAGGCAGAGGCGGCGCGTCAGACGGGTCGCATGTCCGATCACATGTGCGCCGCCCACTACGCGGACTCCTTAAAATGTACGACCACTTCCTCCGCCGCTCGACGCGCTAGAGACTTTAGTGACCACGCGTATATAGTGAAGTTTTGAGTCGTCTCAAAACCGCCGCTCGACGTGTTGGAGACTTTAGTGATTACTCCTTCTGTCACCCACTCTCCTGACTGCACACCGTAACGAATAGTTAACTCGCACCAATTCAAATGTTATGAGTTCCTAAACAGAGTGCGCGGAAGACTTTATAAAGAGAACGTGATTACAGAACGCCGAAACAATGAAGAAAGCAAGAGTATATAGGGCGAAAACGTGCTAGGCGAGAGCCTCCGTGCGAGGGTTGGATGTGTCGTGATTGGTGCGGGGCGACTCGGAACTGGTTAGGTGCGAAAGTGTAGGCCGAGCCACACTGACGCGAAGTGCTCGGGCTGTCCTCGCTAGGAGCAGCCTCTACAGTAATGAATTGTATATTCATTACATCAAACATGCACGCGTAACACCTCCCGGAAACACTTCCTGCAAATCACCTGTAAGCGTAATCACGAGATTGGTGCATTTTTAGTCTGTAAGTAGTGCACCAAACGCCAGGAGTTGATTGTGTCCAACAAGCTCGTTCACTTAATTCCCCCTATTATTGTGTCCAGGTTTGGATAAGAACAGCTACGACAAGAGCAAGTGCGAGGACAAATTCGACGCATACAAGGAGTGCCGGAAACAAGATGTGAGCGGTGGTTGCATACACAGTCATTATACATGAGACATGGTGCATGGGACATGGTGCACAAGAGATGGTACATGGGGCATGTGAGGGCTCATATGTGCTTCTACTTTCGGGCTAGTTACTTCTTTCATGCTTTTTATTCCCAACTCCACTCCCCCCTTTCCCCCTCTCCCCATCTCCCCCCCACCTCCCCCCCATCTCGCCCCCATCTCCCCCCCATCTCACCCCCATCTCCCCCCAATCTCCTCCCCCGTTTTCTATTTGTGCTGTGACAGAGGGAGAAGCGTTTGGAAGAAAACAGCAAGAAATCGTTTTTTGGATGACAATAAACACCACATATGAGAAAAGGTGTAACATCCCTTGGATCCTTTTGTCATTCTCCCTTGTATTTGTGTTGTGGACAAGCATCCTCCTAGTGCTGCTTGTTCTGTTTTGTTCCTCATACATCCCGCAAGGACTGGTGGGTTCTCATCAGTAACCGCACACAGAGGATCACACAACAAGAGCAAAAGCACCACAACACGAAACAATATTCCAGGGTAACCACATGGCTATCTGCACAACTGAGCACTAGCCGCAGCCCTCCTCAGCACAACTGTATATAAGCCAGTAACTGGGGTGAGCACTCTGCCTTAAGAGGCGCCTGAAGGATCTGCTGCTAGGTGGTAACCGGGGCGAGCGAGCACTCCGCCTTGAGAGGCCATTTGAGGCGCCTCAAAAGGCGCCTGAAGGATCTGCTGCTAGGTGGTAACCGGGGCGAGTTCAATGGTGCTGGAGGGAGATGGTGGGGAAGGCAGGAGAAAAACAGAGGTGATGAGATGACACATGATGCTGCTGACTGGTCGGAAGAGCAATGGCAGTAAGCATGGGAAGTTCGTGTGTTCTGAGGTGACTCAATACACCGTTGAAAAATGAATGTGATGAGATGACACATGATGGTGACTGGTGGGAAGAGCAATGGCAGTAAGCATGGGAAGTTCGTGTGTTCTGAGGTGACTCAATACACCGTTGAAAAATGAATGTGATGAGATGACACATGATGGTGACTGGTGGGAAGAGCAATGGCAGTAAGCATGGGAAGTTCGTGTGTTCTGAGGTGACTCAATACACCGTTGAAAAATGAATGTGATGAGATGACACATGATGGTGACTGGTGGGAAGAGCAATGGCAGTAAGCATGGGAAGTTCGTGTGTTCTGAGGTGACTCAATACACCGTTGAAAAATGAATGTGATGAGATGACACATGATGGTGACTGGTGGGAAGAGCAATGGCAGTAAGCATGGGAAGTTCGTGTGTTCTGAGGTGACTCAATACACCGTTGAAATATGAATTTGATGAGATGACACATGATGGTGACTGGTGGGAAGAGCTATGGCAGTAAGCATGGGAGCTATTTGTGCACGTGAGCATGGGGTAGGGAAGAGAGACACATGCATACGGATTGTGTGAGGCTCATGTGGCATGTGAGGTGACACATGATGCTGACTGGTCGGAAGGGTGATGAGAGTAAGTATGGGATGTATGCCAGCTTGGAGCAAGGGGTATGGCAGAGAGTCATATGCATACTGATTGTGTGAGGCTCATGTGATGTGGGCACTAATGTGTCATATGCACCCATGTGTGACCCATTTGTGTTCGAGATATCTGTTTTTTTTTTTTTTTTTAGTGTGTGTGTGTGGTGCATGCATGCAACCAGCGAGAGAACATACGTAGGTGCGGGGGTGGGAGTGGGAGCCGAAGCCACAGGGGCTGCTTTGTCCCGTTTGAAGGTGACTCGTTTGGAGTAGAAGCACTTGACGCCGCTCCACCAGTCCAGCCCCCCCGCCTCCTCACTTGCCGCCACTCGCACTGCCATTAGCAGCTGCCGCAGCAGCATCTGATCCTCCCTCGTGCTGTGTGGGAAAGCACATGGGAGTAAACAGGAGATGGGAGGGATGGGAGTAACCTAAAGCGTGAAGCACTTGACGCCACTCCACCAGTCCAGGCCCCCCGCCTCCTCGCTTGCCGCCACTCGCACTGCCATCAGCAGTTGCCGCAGCAGCATCTGATCCTCTCGTGTGCTGCAGGAGGGAAGGGGGCGGAAGGTGGGAGTGAGTGAGTTGCAGCATGCAGACATTACATCACCCGCACACCAGGAGCACACCAGGAGCCGCAGGGCCTCGCTGCTGCGGGTCCTCTCTGCTCACACCAGCAGCGCCAGGTGCTTCAAACCCTCTGCTCACATCTCAGCGCTGGTGACTTGACATCACGGTGGCCTTCCCAGCACTCACCTCTCAGCGCTGGTAAGCCAGCTCAAAATGGAAGGGACTGCCTCGGAGCAAACCAGCAGCCTCAGAGCCTCGCTGCTGCGGCTGCTCTCTGCTCGCACCAGCAGCGCCAGATGCTTCTGAAACGCCAGGCTCAGCGCTCCCATGTTCATCCGCGCCTCTACGCATTCCTCCCCACCCCCGCTCACACCCCCTTGCTGCCCCTGCTCCTGCTGCTGGTACTGCTGCAGCTGCTGCTGCTGCTGCTGCTGCTCTGCTGCCCCCATTCCCGCTCCTGCATCCCCTACACCCGCACCAGCACCACTGGTCCCTATACCTCCAGCCCCTGCTTCATTCACCCGCACGCCCCTCCCCCACCACCCTCCCATCCGCTGCCTCCTTCCAGCCCGCTCTAGGCTCACCCCACCCCCTCCGCCTCCTTCCCCCACAGCTGCCCCTGCCCCTTCTCCTCCCCCCCCACCCACGCCTGCCTCTGCCCCTGCTGCTGCCCCAGCACCACCTGCTGCCGCTGCTCCATCTCCCATCCCTGCAACGCCCCCAGCCCCATGCTCCGGCAAGCCCTCATGGGGAGTCTCTTCCCAGGACACCAGGTTCTGCACGCGAATCGACGGTGTCCTTCGCATCACCGGCCCTCCCACTGCTACCCCACCTCCTCCTACCCCCCCTGCTCCGCCTAATCCCCCTGCGCCTGCTGCAGCAACAAGCCCAACACGCAGCCCCAGTCCCGCCCTACTAGCAGCAGCAGCGAAGGCATCAGCGGCCCCAACGCCACCACCCAAGCTTCTGAGGGTCACCCCCCCGCCGCTGCCGTGCGTGCTGCCAGTGTCACTGCTGCTGTCACTCCCAACACTCGCCGTGTCAAAGTCTCCCAATTCGTCTCCCCCTCCTCCTCTCACTCCCCACGCCCCTCCCCCGCCCACTCCCCCTCCCATTCCTCCCATTCCGTCCCGTCCTGCTCCGCCCAGGCCTCTCCCTCTTCTCCCCCTTCCTGCTGACGGAGCAGCAGCCACGCTGGCAGATGCCCAGCTGACGTGGCTCTCCAGCTGAGGTGGCCACACGTCAGCCTCATCCAGCTCATGCCACGTGTTCCTTCCTGTCTGCTGCAGCAGTGGCTGCTGCGTGTCCACCTGACCATTCACCTGAGATTCACCTGAAGAATCTTCTCTCTGTTGCCCGCTTAACCCGGAAAGTTGACCGTTTCGCCTGTCCTCCCCACCACTCTCAACCCCAACCCCACCGTTCCCCATCCCTTCTCCCGCCCGAGGACCCAACCCACCCCTCCCAACACTCCCCTCTTCCCTTTCCCTCTCCACACCCCCCAATCCCTCACCACTTCCCAAACCACCCCCACCACCACCCGAAACACCTCCAGACCCCTCCCTTCCCTCACAATCCTCCCCAACCGCATGCCACACGCCATGCTCCCTACAGAACCATCCGTCTTTAGGCACCCTCGCTACAGTCACATGCCCCGTGCTCGCTCCCAATAACGCCTGCGCCAGCACCGCATATAGCTGCGGCTTCTTCAAATGGTTCAGCCAATCCATAGGCGCCAATCCCACCAATCGGCACGTCTCGAACCGGTCTCGAACCCTAAGAAGGAGAGTTCGTTCCTCGGTGCGTTTCGAGAGGAGGGTCGTGAAGATGATGTGAGGTCGGAACCAGGAGCAGATCTCTTGCGCTGGGACCAGATCGTATGGATCCATTTTGTCGAACCGGGCTTTTTGCCGCTTGCGCTCGGCACGCCACACGCGTTGTAGCATGCGCGCGTTTGCGAGCTCTAAGTGGTTGTTTATCGCGTCGTAAACGAGGAGCGTTGTAGCGGGAATGAGGATGAAGGCCGCGGAGAAGCCGAAGAGGATTTGGGAGAAGAGGGAGAGGGAGAGGTAGTTGTAGGAGAGGAGGGAGAGGGTGAAGAAGAACTGGCCGAGAGTGAGGAAGGCTTGCAAGTACTCGAGGGAGAGCGAGGCGAGCGGGGCAGTCTTGTAATGCGTGGCGATGCGGAGGGCCTGAACTAACAAGATTATTATGACCTGTAGAGGAGGATGGGAGGAGGGGGGAAAAGATGGGAGGAAGAATGTGTTGTGTGATGTTATCATATGCATTCACGTCTGTCTGCCTCCCATCATATGTTCGTGCGTTGCATGCGTGGTGTGAGCATGTGCAATAGTTATGTTTAACATAATTTGAATGTTGTGAATGTATGTGGAATTTATTTTGTTTGAGCATATATATGAAATGACTTTTTTTTGCTCAAGAGCTTTCCGACGAAAAAAAAAATCGTCGCGATCGGAGCACGGACGAGAAAGTTATGAGCGGTTGAAATTCGTATATTTCTTATAGTTCGTTGCGGCAACTTTGCGAATTGGTGGAGTGACTCTATAAAAGGTATAGAATTTTGGAGGGTTGGGAATGTTTGTCACCCTACTATAGTTTGCTGCCAAGTGGTTGGGAGAAACCAAACCAGATTGGCAAATGTGACAAAGTTGCGTGAAGTGGATTTGAGAAGTTGGGAAAAAAACAAGGGTGAACGTTGGGTCCTATGGGGTTTTTTTGGTTGAGGACTCTCCTGTGACCTTTTTTATCATCTTCTTCATCCTTTGTTTGTTTTTATTCTTGTTTTAATTTATGTTTATGTTTTTGTTTTTGTTGTTTTTTTTTTCGTTTTTTTTTTTTCCATTATTATTATATGCGGTTCTTGGTTTAACAATTGAGTTTGAGTTAATTTCCAACTCCAGCATACCCCAAGTGCGCCGAAATTCATAAATCGAGTTTTGCGTCACTTTTTAATGCGATTCAAATTGGGAATTGTTGCCACGTTCTAGAGCTACAACATATCTGAAATTGGTGAAGTTTTAACGATCAATTTTTCGTAGACAACATTTCTTGTGAAGTCGACATTTCTGTCCAGAAACTTAGTCTAACGATTTTGAGTAATTTCGGCCCCTAATCTTCCAAGACTTCGTCTTTCATCCTAACAGGATGTTCACTTAACATCATCAATCTGCTCTGGGAAAGGAACCTGAAACAATGGGGTGTGTAAGTTTGATTATAAGGTACGGGTGCGCATGCATCTGAACAATTACTTGTTACCAAGATTCTTGCTGCAGAAACACGAGGGTGCACCCATGCAGCATGGGATAGAAGAAAGTAACATGATTCCAAGTAATGGGGGAGGCTATAAGAGTGCTATCATGCGCTAAGGGCCTTTTAACATGCACTTACCTGTGACTCGGTTTCTTGTTGCAGGAACACGAGGATGCACCCGTGCAGCACCCTCATGCCTATGTTTGTCAGGTGCCACCTGTGAGTTGCAGAATAGGATGGAAATGGGAGATGGGATGATGGAGAATAGGGCTTGTGGAACAAGCCTAATGCAGCACTAAGTACCGGGGGAATGGAAAAAGCCCGAATCACTGATGAGCACCAACCAGCACTACTCGAAATAGTGGCCTAACACATAAGTACCATTCCTCATAATCACTGCGCCACTCACCACCAGAACTTGGGGCGGAAACGTTCGGTGAGCCAGCCAAAGCGCTGCTTGAAGAGCGTAGAGGAGAGCACATCGCACGTGTGAGCATCCACCAGCACGCCAGCAAACAGCAGAGGCAGCCCCACCAGGTACACCACGGTAACCAGCACGGAGGTTACCAGCATCCCCACGTGGGCTGATGACAACCACTCGATCTGCGGTGCTGCTGCCATCACTGTTGCCGTGCCGATCCCCTGGGACTGCACGGGGAAGGGGAAGGGTGGTGAGAGGGTTGCAGGAAGGCGGGCATTCTGATTAGTAGACCTTTTCTTACTACTCCCCTCGTTTTTCAGATTAGTAGACTAGTGCTATAGATTGTTACTCTTAGTAGGCTTGCTGCGTTTCGAACCCGGCGAATTTCAATGGAGAGGTGGTGGAGGGATGCGGAGGGGTGGTGGAAGTTTTTTCAGACGACTTAAACTAAATTTCCTGGGACTGCATGGGGAATGGGTGGTGGAGGGTGGGGTGGGGGAAGGGGGGTACGTGGAAGACCCAACCAGGGATTCAGCCACAGGCTATGGGTCTCCCACAAGTTGTGGGGTTGCGGGTACCAGCTACAAGTTGTGGGGTTGCGGGTACCAGCTACAAGTTGTGGTTGGAGGGTACAAGCAACAGTTCCTTAATGTTACCAACAGCTACACCTCCTATTGTAGCCTTCGTATGCTCCTTGTTACAACAAATATGGGTGGGTGATGTGCGTGGCGGGGAGGGGGAATGCATGTCAATGTTGCAGCAGTTTTGAGGCTGAGAGAGTTTTGCAGCAAAAGTTGGGGCTGAGAGAGTGACTTACTTTTGAAGCTCCCCTCATCTTGAAGACCTGAAGCACTTTGACCATCACAGGCACGTAGCTGAAGTCAAGCCAATTCCACCTTCCATTCGCCTCAAAACTAGGTGTAGCAACACCATCACAGGTTCACCTGAAAGACCCCAACACCTTAGAAACATCCTCACCTTAAGGAGCCCCCCCCCTCATCTTGAAGACCTGAAGCACTTTGACCATCACAGACACGTAGCTGAAGTCAAACCACTGGAGTTCCCTTGGGCGTTAAGAAAAAGATGTAACTCCATCACATGCTCATGTCAAACCCCTCACCCTTGTGTCACCTTGAAGCCCTTCTCACCTTGAAGCCCTTCTCACCTTGAAGCCCTTCTCACCTTGAAGCCCTTCTCACCTTGAAGCCCTTCTCACCTTGAAGCCCTTCTCACCTTGAAGCCCTTCTCACCTTGAAGCCCTTCTCACCTTGAAGCCCTTCTCACCTTGAAGCCCTTCTCACCTTGAAGCCCTTCTCACCTTGAAGCCCTTCTCACCTTGAAGCCCTTCTCACCTTGAAGCCCTTCTCACCTTGAAGCCCTTCTCACCTTGAAGACTTCATGCACTTTGACCATCACAGACAACTTTTGACACGTCTCAAAACTTTTGAGACTTTTGAGTCCTTTGAGACGTCTCAAAAGATGTCAAACCCCTCACCCTTGCCTCGCGCCTTGAAGCCCCCCTCACCTTAAAGCCCCCCTCACCTTGAAGACTTGAAGGACTTTGACCATCAAAGACGTGTAGCAAATGTCCAGCCACTTGAGCTTTCTTAGGCACCTCAGAAAACGATGCAACACCAACACGTGGTCACCTTAAAACCATTTCACCTTAAAGCCCCCACCTTAAAGGCCCACTCACCATAAAGCCCCAATCACCTTGAAGACTTCAAGCACTTTGACCATCACAGACGTGTAGCAAATGTCGAGCCACTTGAGCGACGCGTGCACGATCGAGTTCTCGTACTCGTTATAAGCCCGCCGCTTCGTTACCGAGCGCTGCAGCGCCAGGCGCTGCCGCTGGCGCTCCTTGCGCTGCCACGAGTGCACGCGCACGAAGAAAGAGCCGCCCAGCCAGCGGTGGTGCGCAAACACGAGCGCGTAAACGAGGAGGCCTATAACGGGGATGAGAATGGTGGCATAGAATTTGCCCGTGAACTGCAGGGCGAACACGCATTCTGGCCCGATGATGTCCTGCCAAGGGGGGGGGGAGGGGGGGGGGGGGGAGAGGGGGGGGGGAGAGGGCAAGGTAGAAGTCGTGAGGAGAGATGTAGTGCGGAGAAAAGAAGTGGAAAGAATTTGCTCCGTGAACTGCAAGGAGAAGTGCACATGCATTCTGGCCCGATGATGTCCTGCCAAAGGGAAGATGAGGGGAGGCGGGGAGGGATGAGGTTGCGTTGTGGGAGGAAGAAGGGGAGGGGGGAGAGAAATGAAGAGATAAGCAGTGGGGAGGTCAGGTGATTTGTGACTGTTGATGCTCCAATCACAGCAGAAAGTGCCAGGGGGAAAAAGGCAGGGAGGGAAGAGGATTCCTGGCAGGAGGTGCGTGCATGTAGCACAGTACGGTGCATGCATGTAGCACAGTACGGTGCATGCATGTAGCACAGTACGGTGCATGCATGTAGCACAGTACGGTGCATGCATGTAGCACAGCACGGTGCGTGCATGTAGCACAGTACGGTGCGTGCATGTAGTACAGCACGGTGCGTGCATGTAGCACAGCACGGTGCGTGCATGTAGCACAGCACGGTGCGTGCATGTAGCACAGCACGGTGCGTGCATGTAGCACAGCACGGTGCGTGCATGTAGCACGGCACGGTGCGTGCATGTAGCACGGCACGGTGCGTGCATGTAGCACGACACGGTGCGTGCATGTAGCACGGTACGGTGTGTGCATGTAGAACAGTACGGTGTGTGCATGTAGCACAGCACGGTGCAGACTCGTGTCATGTTGGAGCAAGGCAACAATGCACTTGATTCCGACAACCAAGTAAAAACCCTAATTTGCTCGAAGTACTGTATAACTTCAAGCATCCTAATGACCACCCACTTGCGGGCTTTCATTTCTACTAACAAGACCAGGTTGTGAGACTTCTCAAAGTTTGGAACGGCATTTTTTCTGTCACACTTGTTGGTGCAACCGCATGTTTTGAACTCGTCTTCTTGTCTTTGTGTGCGTGCGTAGATTTGTATGGAATGGTATTATATGCGATCTCAAGAAGTTTTGTTATCAGTGTTTGTGTGGCGAAGCATAGTGTTGTGTGTGTGCGTGTCGAGACCCTTTTCATTTTGAGTCAACTCAAAACAAGGCTCATTTCACGTAGATTGTGTGGCGAACCATAGTGTTGCATGTGCGTGTCGAGACCCTTTTCTCTAGTCGCATGTTGACACACCGTGTGAGCGCTATGTGCGCTTTCTATTTTGATTTGTCGAACGTTCAACATGCAAGAGGGGAGTAATGCAAGCCCTAGACTTCGTTATGGATACTTAGCCCTATTCAATAAGAATTCGTTATGGAGACTAAACCTAGAATTCTAAGCAATTAACTATACCTGGAGCATACCATGACGGCAAACACCAAGAAAGCGAAAATAGTAGATAATTTGTGGTTGAAAAGAACATGCAGTCTTTTCACAACCCTGAACCTCGTATTTGGGGGTTTAATTTCAAATTAATTTCAGAACTCTGTACCGTACCTTCATCCCTTGATTCCAATAGCGCGGCATCGTTATAATATTATGTCTCTTGAAATTCAACTTGCCAATTGAAGGCCATAATGAAACATTGTGTGCAATTAAAACCCGCGGGCAAAGAAAGCCCAAATTGGTTCAACCTTCATAACTTCGGTTGAGTGTGACCCTGACACCAATGGAACAACATCTAGGTGCCATGGTTCACTACATGGCAGCAACTGTTAGTGAAACACCTTGAAAGTAGATTCTTTGAGTGCTTGTTTGAAAACTCTTTGTGTAAAAAAATTGTGGTTAGTGAAACACCTTGAAAGTAGTAGATTGTTTGGGTGCTTGTTTGAAAACTGTGTAAAAAATTTGTGGTAACCGGTTTCGGCGAATGCGCCTTCTTCAGACCACAATGAGTCCTAGGGAGCTAGAACTGCTTAAAACTTTCGTATACATTTGACAGAAGGGGTTCAAAATCTTTTGAAATTTGAAACTTTGCCTGTGAGACCGTGAGGCGACTCCCTAAACCCGAAACCTGGATGACAAAGGTCACCCAAGAAACGCTCGCGCGGGTAAGTCCTTGCGGAGGAACTGGGAACGCAGGAAAAAATGAAATAAGAGATGATTGCTCCAACTCTCTTCGGCAGCCCGAAAGCGATGATTGCTCTCCTTGCAGAAAATGTGTCGTGTGCCATTGTTACGAGGTGACTTTTGAGTCGGCTCCAAAGGCACTTCAGTTGAGTGCGACCCTGACACCAAAATCTTGACCAATTGTATTGCACGCCCCAACCAAACTTCCTACTGTTGAACTTCTTGGCCCGCGGGTTTTAAAACACATGATTTGTTGCTGCATCTGTACGTGCACTCTAGCCTTCGTATTAGGCACATCCAAACACATTGCGACTAGACTACAACAAGGGTCGCTCATTGTGATGAAAGAAGAGACACTGACATGTAGCACGACAGTCTTGCCCCGCTCTGTGAGTTGAGCTTGTAAAGCAGCACGACTGTCAACCATCATGACCGAGTTGACTTTTGAGTCGACTCAAAAGTCATGACCATCGCGGCGTCGTCAACCATCATTCACGACCGACTTTTGAGTCCACAAAATGTTGATATTCGAAATCCACATCAAAGATTGCACGCCAAAAGTTGTAGAGTAGCATGACTCGAATCTTGACTCAAGATTTTGAAGTCCACCAAAAAAGTCGGCGCTTCTCACGACAGTCTTGACTTGACCCATCTTTGAGAGCCACTCACAGTGACAACGGCAGGACTCACGGGATCAAACGCAGCGATGTTGTATAGCAGCATGACGGTCTTCACCCAGGAGGCGGGGAAGTTGAGGTTAAAGTTGGCGACCATGGCGAGCAGTTGCACCTCTATAAGGAAAATGTCCATTGCTGCGAACGTGTCTGCCAGCATGTTCATCGTCACCCAGACGATGAGAATTATGATGAACAGTAGGGGGAACACCTGGGGGGGAAGAGAGAGAGGAGAGTGGGGGGAAGAGGGAGAGGGAGGTGGGCGAGAGGGGGAAATGGGAGGGCAGAAGGGGAGAGGGGTTGAGAAGCAGCAGCTGCACCTCGATGGGAAAGATGTCCATGGCTGCAAGCAAAGGTGTCTGCCAGCATGTTCATTGCCACCCACACGATGAGAACTATGATGAAACAGTAACGGGACGGGAACACCTGGTAGGGAGGGAAGGGGTGGGTAACTTCAAATTACTACACTTGTATGCTGCATGTGTTGAATTATAGCCTGCATATGGCCAGACCTAACAGTGTACACCCAAATCATGGGTGTACACATTCAGGAGGTCTCCCAACTTTTGGTTGGGTTCCCACAACCCAAGCGACCATTATTGTTGGGGAGCCGACATTGGTGGCCAAACCGTCCAATAATTGGCGCAACCTCAGTTATTGGGCTGGACCCCAACCACATTGGTCAGCCACTAAGGGTGGAGGGTAACCCTAACTTTGGTCACTCACATCATGCACTATTTGTACTGCTCTTCTTTCTCAATATACCAACACTTGAGTTTCTCACAGCATGTAGAGAAAGCCACCCATACTTGGTTTATTGGGAGCACAATTAAGGTTTACCCTAGTTGGGGGTTGGGAACTCAACCGTGGCCAAATTATCTGGTCTACAAGGTTAGATGGGAGATGATTAAAACCACAAAAATCTGGGCTCAACTTATCTAAGATTATTGGGACCTTCCAATAATTCTCTGATCCAACTTATTGGTGGGGGCCAATATTCTAAGCCAAGAACCCAACCACCCCTTCCGTTACTCCCACTACTATATATACCTCTTCACTTCCCAATCCAACTATTCCTTTCTCTTCAAACTTCAAGTTTTCCCAATGATCAGGGAACTTCAAGTTCTCTCAACTATTCCTTTCTCTTCAAACTTCAAACTTCAAGGTTTCCCACAGATCAGGGAGAGGAATTGCAGAGGTCGTATTGTTAGTTGTTTTTGAGAATTCTAAAAAAAAAAAACTTGCAACTCTCAAAAACTACTTGCAACAACAGAGAGGAGTTGCAGAGGTCGTATTGCTGTTGAGTTGCCGAGTTGAGTTGAGACTCACTGATTTGAGTGCAGCCGTGCATTGCTCGCAGAACTGCAGCACGAGGTAGTAGCCGTCTGCACATGAGGAGCACATGCTGCATGCAGCACAGCACACACATGGCACACACACGAATGAAACACACAAGAGAGGAAGGTCAGGAGGACATTATGAATTGCTTGTGTGACTGCAGCACTGGAGCACGAGGTAGTAGCCGTCTGCACATGAGGAGCACATGCTGCATGCAAGAAAACAGCATTTCACAGCACACAGACAGTAAAGTAAGAGGTAGGGTAGAGAGACAAGTGGGGAGAGAAGAGGGCTGAGATACATCACATCACTATGTGGATGGTGCGTATCTGACTCGAACAGGTCTGCTTTTGAGTCGACTCAAAAGAGAGACGTGAGGAGAGAAGGGGGCTGAGACTGAGAGATACACATCACATCACTACGTGGGTGGGTGCGTATCTGACTCCAACAGGTCTTATGGGGGTATGCTAGTACAGGAGGGGAGAATTGTGGGTGGGTTGGAAAATATTGGAGAAATTCTTGTGTTTTTGCAGACGTCAAAATCGTTGTTCAATGATATTTAGCTCACTTAAATGGGAAAACAGAATGTGGTCCGGGGCCCAGCCCGATACAAGCCCAGCCCGATACAAGTCCAGCCCGATACAAGCCCAGCCCGATACAAGCCCAGCCCGATACAAGCCCAGCCCGACACAAGCCCAGCCCGATACAAGCCCAGCCCGACACAAGCCCAGCCCGATACAAGCCCTGCCCGATACAAGCCCAGCCCGATACAAGCCCAGCCCGATACAAGCCCAGCCCGACACAAGCCCAGCCCGATACAAGCCCAGCCCGATACAAGCCCAGCCCGATACAAGCCCAGCCCGATACAAGCCCAGCCCGATACAAGCCCAGCCCGATACAAGCCCAGCCCGATACAAGCCCAGCCCGATACAAGCCCAGCCCGATACAAGCCCAGCCCGATACAAGCCCAGCCCGACACAAGCCCAGCCCGACACAAGCCCAGCCCGATACAAGCCCAGCCCGACACAAGCCCAGCCCGACACAAGCCCAGCCCGATACAAGCCCAGCCCGACACAAGCCCAGCCCGATACAAGCCCAGCCCGATACAAGCCCAGCCCGATACAAGCCCAGCCCGATACAAGCCCAGCCCGATACAAGCCCAGCCCGATACAAGCCCAGCCCGATACAAGCCCAGCCCGATACAAGCCCAGCCCGATACAAGCCCAGCCCGACACAAGCCCAGCCCGATACAAGCCCAGCCCGATACAAGCCCAGCCCGACACAAGCCCAGCCTGACACAAGCCCAGCCTGACCAGCGCTGCCGGCACAGCACTGGTCTGCTGGTGGTTCAGGGTTTGTAGAAGATGGAACTCTGCTGGTACAGCTGCTGCACAGCCTACCAGCACAGCACACTTACGGTACGGTGTTGCTGTGTCCCAAGGCACGGCACGGCACGCTGCGTGGTGTTGGGGCTTGTATATGTGGTGCCGTGAGGGTACGGCTACTGCTACAGCACAACGTAACAACACCCCACACTCATGGAGCCGTGTGTGTGCACTGAGCATTCACGGCACTGAGCATTCACGGCACTGAGCATTCACGGCACGGTGTGGTTGCTCCCTCAGCACACTGAGTGGCGTTGGGCCCTGTGTAGGTGGTGCCAGAGCAGCCTGCCCTGCATGTCAATTACTAATTGCCCCACTGCCCACACACTCACAGCACGGTGTTATTATATTTCACAGCACACTGCATCGTGTTTTCCCCCCACTGCCCACACACTCACGGCACGGTGTTGTTATATTTCACAGCACACTGCATCGTGTTTTCCCCCCACTGCCCACACACTCACGGCACGGTGTTGTTATATTTCACAGCACACTGCATCGTGTTTTCCCCCCACTGCCCACACACTCACGGCACGGTGTTGTTATATTTCACAGCACACTGCATCGTGTTTTCCCCCCACTGCCCACACACTCACGGCACGGTGTTGTTACATCCCACGGCACACTGTGGTGTGTTGGGCCCTGCCCTGTATAGGTGGTGCCAGAGCATCCCTCGGTGAGCAGACATGTATAGGTGGTGTCAGAGCAGATTTCCTTTCATTGCAGCAATCATTACAACCCAAATGCCCACACACTCACGGCACGGTGTTGTTATATCCCACAGCACACTGCATCGTGCTGGGCCCTGTGTACGTGGCGCCAGAACAGCTGATCCGTCATTGCAATCATTCCCCCCCCACTGCCCACACACTCACGGCACAGTGTTGTTACATCCCACGGCACACTGAGTGGTGTTGGGCCCTGTATAGGTGGTGCCAGAGCAGCCTACCCTTCACTGCCTTCCATCTTACCACTCATTGCTCTCTCCCACTACTACCCCCCCCAGGCACTCACGGCACGGTGTTGTTATATCCCACGGCACACTGTGTTGTGTTGGGCCCTGTATAGGTGGTGCCAGAGCATCCTTCGGTGAGCAGGCACGCATAGGTGGTGGGCGTGGAGTTGAGCGACGCTGGGTCCAGCCAATTCTGGTACGCGATCTGCAGGGAGGAGGGATGGTGGAATGGTGGAAGGGCACGGGAGGTACAAGTGGAGGTAACACCAGTGACAGGCGTAGGTGGTGGGCGTGGAGTTGAGGGACGCTGGGTCCAGCCAGTTCTGGTACGAGATCTGATGGGAGGGGAGAGAGGAGGATGGGAGGGGAGAGAGGAGGGTGGGAGGGCATGGGAGGTAGGAGGTTGTTGAGAGCAGGCAGTTGGAGGATACACCAGTGACACGCATAGGTGGTGGGCGTGGAGTTGAGCAATGCTGGGTCCAACACACACTCTCACCCACTGCAACCAACCCACCTGCAGCGTGCCATAGCGGCAGTCCAAGCTGTCGTCGTCACACGCCGTGCACTGCTCCTGCGACACTGCGTTGGGGAAGAAGGTGAAGGCGCCGTCTGGACACGTCTCCATGCCCTGCCCTGGCGCACACCTGAGGGGAGGTGGAGGGGTAAGGGAAGGGGTAATGGGAGGGAAGAGGGGACTTAGAGTGACGGGAAGGAGCAAAGAAGAAGCGTTGGGAAGAAGGTGAAGCTGCCGTCTGGACACGTCTCCATGCCCTGCCCTGGCGCACACCTGAGGGGAGGTGGAGGGGTAAGGGAAGGGGTAATGGGAGGGAAGAGGGGACTTAGAGTGACGGGAAGGAGCAAAGAAGAAGCGTTGGGGAAGAAGGTGAAGGTGCCGTCGGGACATGTCTCCATGCCCTGCCCTGGCGCACACCTGAGGTAAGGCAGCGGGTTGAAATGGGAGGGCGGGGAGTATGGGCCACGGGAAGAGGGAACTTATTGCATTGAAGCGGCATTTGGGAAGAAGGTGAAGGTGCCGTCTGGACATGTCTCCATGCCCTGCCCTGGCGCACACCTGAGGGTCAGGTGAGGGGGAGAGATGGGGTAAAGGGGGTGACGGGAAGAGGCACTTGGATGCTTCAGAGTGGTGTTGGGGAAGGAGGTGAAGCTGCCGTCTGGACATGTCTCCATCTCCTGCTCTGGTGCGAACCTGGGCGAGGTGGGGTGGAGGGAGGGGGAGGGGCAGGGGGAGGGAAAGAGTGAAAGGGAAGGGGGAAGGAAATGGAGGGGAGGGAAGAAACTGGGGAGAGATGGAGTGAAGGAGAGGGATGCAACTGACCGAGTTATAAAAAAGAGTTTTTGGAACCTCTCAAAAACTCTCTTCTATCGTGTGGGTGGGATGCAAGCAACTGGCTGAGATGCCTGGAAAGCACAGCTTGCTACTTGAATTGAGGAACTCCTAATGGCATGGCAACTACTTGATGTCAGTACTCCCAGCAGCAGACTCTACCATTGCATACATTCAACCCAATGGCAACGACTTGTTGTAAGTAGTAGCGTTGCATATGGCACCACCAGTGGCCAACATGGCAGTCCTGGCAGCTGAAGCTCACCAACCAGTGGCCCACATGGCAGTCCTGGCAGCTGAAGCTCACCCACCAGTGGCCCACATGGCAGTCCTGGCAGCTGAAGCTCACCCACCAGTGGCCCACATGGCAGTCCTGGCAGCTGAAGCTCACCCACCAGTGGCCCACATGGCAGTCCTGGCAGCTGAAGCTCTCTCCGTCAGGGATGAATCACACCGACACACTCTCTCCTTGAGGGATGAATCACACCGACACACTCTCTCCTTGAGGGATGAATCACACCGACACACTCTCTCCTTGAGGGATGAATCACACCAACACACTCTCTCCTTGAGCAACCCCAGCAGCAAACAACCAACGACCCACGAGCAGCAGCAGCTAGATATGAGCACGAACCGAACTCAAACATGTTTGCGCAAACCTTTTCGAACCTTGCATGTTGGTCGAACCGGACCAAACAGGTTTGCTCGAACTTTTTCCAGACTTTTAAGGTTTGAGGTTTGAGTATACAATGGCGAACCCTAAAGGTTTGCTCAAACCTTCTAAGGTTTGAGCAAACTCGAACCTTTTCAGGTTTGAGGCTTAAAATGATGCACATGTTATTCTACAACACATGCATGTCTAATGGTTTATGGACAGCATCACTAAACTGTCAAACCTAACAAACAAGTTGAGGTTTGACACATCCTAAGTTGGAGCTGAGGTGAAAGAACGGTAGTGGGGAGGGAGGCATTGGGTGAGCTAGAGTTGATCTAGATCTCCATCTACTCTTCTCTGCTACGAGATTAGGGTTGGCTGCCTTCAACTAGCAGCCAACGTACGACTTTCCCGTTTTTGACGGGAAAGGCGCGAGCGTATTCTTTCTGAAGTTAATTTAATTCGAACCCCTCGCTGTTCGAATTTGACCCTTTCGAACCTCGAACCTGTTCGGTTCGAGGTTCGAATCTCGAACCGGAAAAGTTCGCGCGAACTGTTCGCGTAAACTTTTTCGAGGTTTGCTCAAACCTTTTTTGCGGAAAAAAAAAGTTCGGTTCGAGAGAACTCGAACCGAACATCTCGAACCGAACCTAAGTTCGGTTTGATGCTCATATCTAGCAGCAGCACACACCAACAGACTTAGCGTTACAGGGCAAAGGCAAAACCCACCAGTGGCCCACTGGGCAATCCTGGCAGCTGAAGCTGTCCCCATCGAAATACTGCCCGGCCGGGCAGAAGGAAATGTTGAAGGGGTGGGAGAAGTCCGGAAAGGCGTTGGTGGTGGAGGAGACGGTGACGGTGAGCGCTATTGGCTGTAACGCGCCGCCCGGGGACACGCGGACGGCAATGGGCGGCACTGTGATGATGCCGGCCTGGGAGGTGCCTCGTAGGGACCCACTGATGCGGCTGTCTGGGGAGACGCGGGCCAAAGCGGAGTTGTCCTGGTGGGGTGGGGGCAGTAGGAGGGCGAGGGTAGAGGGGGGTGGAGAGGGTACAGTGAACGACTGTGATGATGCCGGCCTGGGATGTGCCACGTAGGGACCCACTAATGCGGCTGTCAGGGGAGACGCGGGCCAAGGCGGAGTTGTCCTGGTGAAGGGTGGAAGAAAAGGAGGGAGGGGTGTGGAGGGGAATGCAAAGGGAGCGAAGGAGGGAAGGGCATTGTGATCATGCCACCCTGAGATGTACCCCGAAGGGAACCACTGATGCAGCTGTCAGGGGAGATGTAGGCCAAGGCGGAGTTGTCCTGGTGGTGATTCGCGGGGGGGGGGGGGGGGGGGGGGGGGGGGGGGGGGGGGGGGGGTGGTTGGGGAGGTGGGGGAAGGAAAAGGGAGGAAGAGGGTAAGGTGAATCACTGTGACGATGCCGCCCTGGGATGTTCCGCGTAGCAACCCGCTGATGCGACTGTCAGGGGAGACACGGGCCAACGCTGAGTTATTCTGGTGGTGGGAGGAGGGCAATGGGCAAGAGAGGAGGGGAGGGGGAGAGGATACGGTAAATGAGTGATGAAACTGCCCTGGGATGTGCCCCATAGGGACCCGCTGATGCGGCTGTCAGGGGAGATGCAGGCCAAATCCGAGTTGTCCTGGTGGTAGGGGGAGTGGGTGGGAGGGGTGGAAGGAGGAAGGGGAGAGGACAGGGTAAGGTAAATCAGTGTGATGATGCCGCCCTGGGATGTGCCATGCCATGTAGCGAACTGCTGATGCGGCTGTCAGGGGAGACATGGGCCAAGGCGGAGTTGTCCTGGTGGCGGGAGTGGAGAAGTGGGAGGGAATGGAGAAGGAGAGGACTCAGGTGAGGGGGGGTTGGTTGGTTGCAGTAAGTGGTGGGTTGATTTTTGAGGTGCCTCGTGCATTGAGTTGATTTTTTAGGCGCCTCAAAAATCAACTCAAGGCGCCTCAAAAATCAACTCAGGTGAGGGGTTGGTTGGTTGCAGTGAGTGGTGGGTGGGAGGGAATGCCCCCTAGTGCCCCGCTGATGTGACCGTTTGTGCACTGAACTGAAGTTCTGCCCATTCCTCACCTTGGCAACGATGTAGCCAAACTCATTCACCACCGCCACCTGCAGCCCCGTCAGCATGGAGCCCACCGAGCCCACCACTGAGAAGCTGCCACCTGTCTCCCGCGATGACGCTGCTGCGCCCGGCCATCTGTAGGAGGAGTGAGAAGTCGGTGGCAGGGCGAGCAGGGGTAGGGGGATTGGGGTAGGGGGATTGGGGGATTGGGGTAGGGGGATTGGGGTAGGGGGATTGGGGTAGGGGGATTGGGGTAGGGGGATCGGGGTAGGGGGATCGGGGTAGGGGGTTGGAGGAGGGAGGAGGGGGAAAGGGAGGGAGGGGTGGGTGTTGGCCACTTGGAAGAAGGGTGACAGGGTGGCACCTCAGCAGCATCATATCATAGCAATACATTCTCAGCTTACAAAACAAGAAGCTCCTCTCTGTACCCTTTACAGGCGCACTCACTTGAGATAAAAGTCCGCCGGCATGCTGCCCTGCATGTCCCCCTGCTGCAGCATCTGGCAGGCCTGGCAGGCGGAGCGCAGCTGAGGGCTGTAGGAAGCATCGAAGAAGGCCACTCCATGTGCGCCCATGGCACTGTTGCCATCAAACAGAAGGCCTTGCAGTCGCACCTGATTGGTGGAGACAGAGGAGGAGGAGGAGGCAGAGGAGGAGGTAGTAGTGGTGGAGGTGGTATTTGGGGTAGAAGAAGCAGCAGCAGAAGCTGCTGCTCTCACACCACTGCTGCTGCTGCTGCTGCTGCTACTGCTACTGCTGCTGCCGTCACCGCCGCCAGTGCTGCTGTCTCTGCTACTACTGGCGAGCACGATCTGCCCTCTGGCTCTCTTAGACCGACCAGGAGCAGAAGCAGAAGCAGAAGCACCAACCCGAGGAGGCCTATTACCACCACCTGCTGCAGCCGCAGTGGCAGCAGCAGAGCGCATCAGGTACACCCCTGCACCGCCCACCACCGCATAGTTCCCCTCAAACCTAGACCCTGATACCTCCCCCTCCGCCTGCTCCAGTACAGCCACTCCCCCTCCCGCTTACTCGCGTTGTTCCCAGAAAACACAGACTCTCCCATTGTGAAAGCAGTGGCGCCTGCTAAGGCAACCCCTGCGCCGATCTGCGCGATGTTCCTCGTGAAATCTGAGCCGTTGATCGTGAGATACGGGCTGCCTTCGGTGCTCACCGCGCCGCCCAGCGCCGCCCAGTTTCGGGAGAAGCCGCACGAGTGGACGGCGACCGTCGTCTTATCCCCAACCAGCACTGCGCCGCCCCGCCCGGCCGCGTTAGAGTTCCCTGTAAAGCTACAGTTCCGAAGAACCCCCTGAGAAAACCCCTGGAAAAGAATCCCTGAAAAGGTGTTGTTTTCAAACGTAGAATCAGCAGCTGTGACTCTCGCCTCTGCCTCTACAACCATAGCCCCTCCGTGTAGCGCCGAGTTCCCTCGAAACACGCTCCCACCGCCCACCTCCACCCGGGACACATGCGTCGCATACACCGTCCCGCCGAGATACCTCGCCTCGTTCCCTTCAAGCTTCGAGTTGTTTGAGATGAGAAGAGAGGCGCCCATCTCCACCCAGACGGCGCCGCCCCAGGCGGCAGTGTTGTGGGCGATGGAGGAGGAGATCAAAGAGAGGTGCGCGCTGCCGCTGACACGCGCTGCTCCCCCCTCGCTGGTGCCCTGATTGGCTGAAAGGACTGAGTTGGTGACTGTGGCGTGCGCGTTGGCGAGAAGAGAGAGGCACGCACCGCCTGTCAGGGCTCTGTTGTGGAAGGTTCCAGGGGAAGAAACGGGGGAAAATACAGCTGACGTGACGGTTGTCATGTCACTGGAGCACACACGTGCTGCTCTCCCCTCGCTGCTGCCGTGGTTGGCTGAAAGGATTGAGTCGATGACTGTGGTGCGTGCACTCACATGTTCCCGCATCACCTCATCCCACTCACATGTTCCCTTGGCACTGCATGCCACTCATCTCATCCCGTGAGAACTCCGGTACGAGCACAGCGCCCCAGCCCGGAGCTGTTGTATCTCACACTTACAACCCAAGCTACCACATCACACTCACATCACACTCACTTCACAACACATGCTACCGCACCACCTCATCCCACTCACACCGCAACCACCCTTATCCCACTCAAACCGCACCACCTCATCTCACTCACATGTTCCCGTGGCACCGGGTGCGAGTCATTTCGACTCGTGAGAACTCCTGCACGAGCACAGCGCCACCCAGCCCCGTGCTGTTGTTTTCCTCCACCTCACACGCGTGCACACGCGTGTGCATGCCCAACCCCGTGTAGATAGCACCTCCCCAAGCACCGCCTCGTTGCGCGCAAAGCGGCACGACTTGAAGAGTGCTTCTGTGGGCAGCCCGTCACTGCTGGATGCATAGACTGGACGGTGGGGAGGTGAAGGGAAGGAACGGTGGAGCAAGAGAGGGGAACGCGGAAGTGGGAGGGAACGGAAGTGAGGGAGGGGGGTTTATGAAGGAGGGGGTGGGAGAAGGGGTGGTGGAGAGTGAGTGGTACAACCCCGTGTAGATAGCACCTCCCCCAAGCACTGCCTCGTTGCGCAGGAAGCGGCACGACTTGAAAAGAGCCTCGGTCGGCAAGCCGTCACTGCTGGATGCATAGACTGGAATGGGATGGTGGAGGTGAAGGGGGGAGAAGAAGGTTGGGAGGGTGGGTGCCAATCAAAAGAGGGAGAGGAGAAGGGCTGGGGAAAGAGAGGAGTGGGGAGTGGTGTGACCATGTGTAATTAGCACCTTCCCTAAGCACCGCCTCGTTGCGCACGAAGCGGCAGGACTTGAAAAGAGCCTCAGTTGGCAGGCTGTCACTGCTGGATGCATAGACTGGACGGGGGGGAGAGGGAGTGAAGGATGGAAAAGGAAAGAGAACGAGACAGAATGGAATTGAACTCTTGAGTCGCCTGCATGTCCTTAAAATTTGACCAGTGTTCGCTCATAATCTAAGACCAGTCATGATCTGATGACCGTAGCATGCGCTTTTTAGGCGCCTCAAAAGTAGACTGGTGTTCGCTCATAGTTTAAGACGGGTCATGATCTGATGACCGGTAGCATGCGTTCACTCAACTCGCATAAAGTGGCGGAGCCGTGTGTTCACTCAACTGGCATCAAGTGGTGGAGCCGTGTGTTCACTCACCAGCCACAGCACCCCCCCACCAACCCTGTTCCCGTCCAGAGTGACATTATCAAGCGTGACAGAAACCGACTCGCTTCACTTCACTCAAGTACAACCAAGTGTTGGTGGTGTTGTGCGTTCACTCACCAGCCACCGCCCCGCCCTGCTTGCCCGCCCGCTGTGTTCCCATCCGAAAAGACGTTGTCGAACGTGACAGACACCGACACGCTGCCCAGGGCGCCTCCCTTGGTGCCATGCATTCACTCACCTGCCATAAAGCATTGCCATGCCATGCGTTCACTCACCTGCCATAAAGCACTGCCATGCCATGCGTTCACTCACCTGCCATAAAGCACTGCAATGTGTTCACTCACCAGCCACAGCCCCTCCCTGCAGCGCGGCCATGTTCCCGTCCAGAGTGACATTATCGAAAGTGACAGACACTGACTCGCTGTACAGCGCGCCTCCCTTGGACCGCTCTGCACTGTTGCCTACGAATGTGCTGCTCTCTACCCGCACTGCCCCCGTGCCCTGCACGGTGCAAGAGAGTATGAAGGTGTGCAAGAGAGTATGAAGGTGTGCAAGAGAGTGCGCAGGTGAAGGGATGGGCATTGAGGCATCCTCAAAGTTTCCTTGGAGCGAGGGGGCTTATGAGACGTCTGAGGGGACGCATTGAGCACTCTCAACTCACAACCCACAACTCCTCACACACAGACCCACAACTCACCTCACACACATGAACACCACTCTCAACTCACAACAACCCACAACTCACCTCACACACATGAACACCACTCTCACAACTCACCTCACAACAACCCACAACTCACCTCACACACATGAACACCACTCTCAACTCACAACAACCCACAACTCACCTCACACACATGAACACCACTCTCAACTCACAACAACCCACAACTCACCTCACACACATGAACACCACTCTCAACTCACAACAACCCACAACTCACCTCACACACATGAACACCACTCTCAACTCACAACAACCCACAACTCACCTCACACACATGAACACCACTCTCAACTCACAACAACCCACAACTCACCTCACACACATGAACACCACTCTCAACTCACAACAACCCACAACTCACCTCACACACATGAACACCACTCTCAACTCACAACAACCCACAACTCACCTCACACACATGAACACCACTCTCAACTCACAACAACCCACAACTCACCTCACACACATGAACACCACTCTCAACTCACAACAACCCACAACTCACCTCACACACATGAACACCACTCTCAACTCACAACAACCCACAACTCACCTCACACACATGAACACCACTCTCAACTCACAACAACCCACAACTCACCTCACACACATGAACACCACTCTCAACTCACAACAACCCACAACTCACCTCACACACATGAACACCACTCTCAACTCACAACAACCCACAACTCACCTCACACACATGAACACCACTCTCAACTCACAACAACCCACAACTCACCTCACACACATGAACACCACTCTCAACTCACAACAACCCACAACTCACCTCACACACATGAACACCACTCTCAACTCACAACAACCCACAACTCACCTCACACACATGAACACCACTCTCAACTCACAACAACCCACAACTCACCTCACACACATGAACACCACTCTCAACTCACAACAACCCACAACTCACCTCACACACATGAACACCACTCTCAACTCACAACAACCCACAACTCACCTCACACACATGAACACCACTCTCAACTCACAACAACCCACAACTCACCTCACACACATGAACACCACTCTCAACTCACAACAACCCACAACTCACCTCACACACATGAACACCACTCTCAACTCACAACAACCCACAACTCACCTCACACACATGAACACCACTCTCAACTCACAACAACCCACAACTCACCTCACACACATGAACACCACTCTCAACTCACAACAACCCACAACTCACCTCACACACATGAACACCACTCTCAACTCACAACAACCCACAACTCACCTCACACACATGAACACCACTCTCAACTCACAACAACCCACAACTCACCTCACACACATGAACACCACTCTCAACTCACAACAACCCACAACTCACCTCACACACATGAACACCACTCTCAACTCACAACAACCCACAACTCACCTCACACACATGAACACCACTCTCAACTCACAACAACCCACAACTCACCTCACACACA